TCGTTTCGTCCAATTTAACTCTCTCTTTTTTCTTTCATCGCCGCGCTTTCTTTTTTTGCCCCCATAATCAGGATGTTTCCCTAGAATTCGATCAGAGAGACAATTTACTTGCTTTAATATAGTTGCATTACTGAATCGTCTAGGACGAGGTCTTGTCTCAGGTTGACCATCAAACAATAGACTCTCCCTCCAACTATGGTTTATATTCAAGAATCGTCTGTGACCAACATAAGACATCTTGTTGGTCACATAAATGGAAGATGTGTCTTCGTTACAAGTAGGGCATGCTAAATAACCTTGACCACTCTATCCAGACAGACTGCTACGTGCTGGAAAATCATTGATAGTCCATAACAACATCGCACGCATATTGAATACAGTGTTGGTTGATGCATCTTTCATTTGGACTCCTTCGACCCACAACATTTTCAACTCATCCACCAAAGGCCTCAAGTAAACATCAATGTCCTTTGCGGGTGATCTAGGATAAGGAATCAGCAAAGTTAGCATGAAAGAAGACTCTTTCATACATATCCATGGTGGTGTATTGTAGGTAGTCAATATAACCGGCCAAATACTATAATTGTTATTAAAGTTTCCGAATGGATTAAAGCCATCAGCAGCTAAACCTAGACGAACATTTCTAGGTTCTTTGGCAAACTCTGGATATCTCTTATCAAATTCTTGCCATGACTTCCCATCTACCGGATGATACATCATACCATCCGTTGATCTTCCAGTATTATGCCAAATCATATCTTTAGCTGTGAATCTGGAACTATACATCCGTCGAAGTCTTGGAGTCAAAGGAAAGTACTGCAACACTTTTTGTGGTACTCGCTTCCCCTTTGTGGTTGTGTCCACCCATCTAGTCTCGTTACAAATCGGGCAATTCTGCATGGAATCATTCTCCTTGCAAAACAAAGCACAATCATATTTGCAAGCATGGATGGACTCATATCCTAACCCTATCTTTCTCAACTTTTTCTTAGCTTCATAGTGTGAAGTTGGAATCTTGCTCTTCGGGAAAGCAACTCTATAAGTTGGTCAAATGAACTATTTGTCCATTTATTGATCACTTTAATATGCAACAGCTTTGCCAAAAAGTTTAAAGAAGACATCTCACAATGAGGTTATAACTTGGTATTGAGCTCCTCAAACAAAGCATCAAATTCTGGGTCCATGCCTCGTCCTTCATCATCTGTATTTTCTTCATTTGTATTTTGTTCCGCCATAACATCATCAATTACATCAAACATCTCATTAGTTGTTGGAATGTTTATTGGAGTCGAATTGTAGCCCAATTCCGAAACAGAATGCTTCTCACCGTGATAAATCCATATAGTATACGATTTTAGATACCCACGGTCATGTATATGGGCATAAACCGTACTCAACAACTGTTGATACATATTCACACACTTTACGCATGGACAACGCACTTTGTCTTCAGAGTCAATATGTTTCCTAGCAATCTCCATAAAGTTTTTAAGACCTTCCAAGAATTTTGGGGACGTTCGGTTTTCACGAATCCAACTCTTATCGATCGTCATTACTGTTTCATTATTAAAAATTAGATTGTATACATAGTTAAATTGTATGACTTTTTGTTTGAGAAAAAAACGGACGAAATATTATTTTGTTTTTTTTTTCAATTACAGCATTGTACTTTTAATATATATACATTTTATTTTTTTTCAATTACAGAAAAAAAACTCTTATCGATCGTCATTAGATTGTATTTATAGTATATATACATTTTATTTTTTTTCAATTACAACATTGTACTTTTAATATTATTTTGTTTTTTTTTTGTTTTTTATGGCACCATACTTTTAATAACAACATGATTTTATTATTTTGTTTTATGTTATAACTTTCAAATAGAAATGAAAATAAAATACTTTAATAAACAAGATAAAAAAAAGTATGTTGCTATTAATAACTTTTGTAGTTTAAATATTTTTTACTTAATAAACATTACTCTCAATAAACGTACTTTTATTAGTTTAAATATTTTTATATTTTGTTTTATGTTGATATTAGTAAAGATTGTTCTTAATGACAAACATTTTAACTTAAAAATTAGATTGTATACATAGTTAAATTGTATGCCTTTTTGTTTGAGAAAAAAACGGACGTAATATTATTTTGTTTTTTTTTTCAATTACAGCATTGTACTTTTAATATATATACATTTTATTTTTTTTCAATTACAGAAAAAAACTCTTATCGATCGTCATTAGATTGTATTTATAGTATATATACATTTTTTTTTTCAATTACAACATTGTACTTTCATTCACTTAAGCTAATAAACTAAACAAATAACACAACCATACATATTTTACATTTTATACATAAAATTTCATATCAACCTAAACAAAGATCACAATCATACATAATTTAGATTTCATACAAAATTTAGATTTCATATAAACCTAAACAAGTAAATTAACATTGTATACATACAATTTCAATTTCATATGAACCTAAACAAATTTGAATTTCATATAATATTTTAACCACAATTTCATACGTACCTAAACAAATTTGAATTTCATACAATTTCAATTTCGTATAAACCAAAACAAACAAACAATATACATATACCAAACAAAAAACAACAATCACACATATACCAAACAAACAACACAATCACACATATACTAACCAAACAACACAATTCTATAATCAAAAGAGGATCAATTTCAATTTCAATTTCAATTTCATGAAAACTTATGCATATATTTTCAATTTCAATTTCAATAAAAATTACAAAAAAAAAAACTAACCTGTGTTTGTTCTTCTTGCAGTGATGGGGACTCCCCTTGCCAAAATCGATGGTGATCCTCCGGTGGTGGCTGGTGGTCACCGGAAATAAAAAAAGTCGGAAAAAAAACACCAAAATCGATCGTTCAAAATCGATGATGTGTTTTGTTACATGCAATAAAATACGAAGGGTGGTGAAGGAGATAACCTGGAACGATGGGCGCCGGTGAACAACTCGCGGTGGGGACGCTTGAGGCGGCGGAAGACGGACGGTGGTGCTTCACCACCGGTGAAAACCTCTAAACTCCAAAAAAAAACCCCAAATTCGGGGTAAAAATCATTAGCACACAATAATAACAAACGAAATAGGAGTAGAAAAGATTTACCTGGGGCTAATCGCCGGCTAGTGTCGTTGGAATCGGATTTTCGTCGGAGAGATAGAATTTGGCTGCGTCGTTGTGCAAATGAATGAAGGCTGCGTATTATTTAGGGTAAACCCCTATGCCGACGACATGTCGTCGGTATAGGGTCAAATAAACGATGTCGTTTCGTTTTTTTGCTGAAACAAAAAAAAAATTAAAAATTAAAAACCTATGGCGACGACAAGTCGTCGGTATAGCATTACACAAAACTACGTCGTTTTGTTTTTCTGGCACATGGATTAAAAATAAATGGAAAATAATATATTTATTGAAACCTATACCGACGACGTGTCGTCGGTATTGAATTTCAGAATACCGCCAATATTTTTGTCGTTCCCGCCAGACTTTTGCCGACGACCTGTCGTCAGAACAGAGGTCCTGGTCAAAGTAAATTGGTCAAAGTTCGCAAAAAGGTATGGCGACGACTTGTCGTCGGGATAGGGGTACTTTTAGCGACGACAGTTGTCGTCGGGATAAGTGTCGTCTGCATAGCTCTGTATCCTTGTAGTGAAACTATTTCTGATATCATTTATGTGTCATTATAATACATATTTTAATAATAAATTATAATGAGAATATCTCAAGTAGTGAGGACAATGGGGCATTTGATTTCAGTCTCACACCCAAATTATAAAAATATAAAGTAAATTACTGAAATCATCCATATGGTTTGGTTAAAATTGTACGCTTGGTCTCTAACTTTAATTTTGCACTCGGATATCCCCTGTGGTTTGATTTTGTTGTGTTTTTTGTCCCTATGGTTTGGTCAAAATTACACGTTTGGTCCTTAACTTTATGTATGTAAGGGACGAAAAATGCAACAAAATCAAACCATTGGGACGATCCGAGTGCAAAAGAAAAGTTAGGGACCAAACATGCAATTTTGATATAACCATAGGGACGATTTCAATAATTTACTCAAAAATATATCCTAAATCCGGTCTCGTTTTGTTGGGTAACCGGATAGTAATTACACATCCGGTTTGTGGGTATAACCAAAGTATTTGGTATCCCATTTATAATTTTAATAAAAAAAAAATTACCACCTATAACTTTCATTAGCTAAAACCCAATCACATAAGCATCCAAAAAATGGCTTAAATGTTTAATATTTTTTTAATTTAACAACATAACAATTTTAATTTCTAAAACTGTGAGGTGTGGTGATCTTTTTGTCGTCGGTATTCCGACGTGGCTATGTTTGTCGTCAGCAAACACGGTCCATCCATATTATTGTCGAGGATACACTTGAACGGCAAACCTTTGCCGCTTTCTCTCTCTATTTGCTACTAGCCATTTCCTCATTTAACACCCCATTACTTCCTTTTTAAATTAGGTTTAAAAGCAATTGCATTTTAATTAGACTCATTTAACACCCCATCACTTCTTAAAAACAATTAACCAATTATCAAAATCTCGCAATTAATTACGAAAATGTCAAATCATCTCGCAAGATTTTGACAATAAATAAAATCAAATCCTGACCATTTATTTTTTCAATCTTAAGGCTAAAAATTGTCCTCAAGGTTCGTACCATTTTTTTGAATCGTACTTGATCCTCTCTCTCTCTCTCTCTCTCTCTCTCTATATATATATATATATATATATATATATATATATATATATATATATTAGTTAGAAATTCCTTGCATGTTGATCATAACATATGATAGTATGCAAATTGCAAGAATCGGTAGGCCAGTTAACTTATGTTCAGGAATAAACTAATTAAGTAAGGAAAAAGTTTCTATTTAAAGGCATCAAAGTGCTTGGCATATCATCTCAATGCTCATTTCTTTCTGATCAAATTAATAGCAAATATATAAACACTATTTGCTTATCTACCGATCGGTAACCATGGAAAATAGTTCAGAAGTTGTCTCCAGGTAACCCTATTAGGCTATTACCCTATAGTTTATTGACTTGATAAATTTCCAATTGTATTACTATTATTATTATTAGTATTATTATTATTATACCCACTAAACAAACTAATTAATGTATATGTCGTCAATAATTACTTAGATGTTGTATGCCATTTAATATTTGGAAACATGATAGTACCTCTATCAGTTTTTATAAAAACAACGTTGTCAAGTAAATTTAGAATCAAATTCGCGAAATATCAATTTAAAACAGTTTCAAAAATTTAGGCTCAAATATGCTAAGATGAATTGAGATCGGGTTTATTTAACGAATCTTCAAATTATGCTGGCAAGTGATTTATAGTTTTGTTTTTCGAACTCTGATAAGACTACGCTTCAACAAAACGTATTTTCATCACAAATTACTAACTTATTAGTGAGTTTTTTCACAAAGCAGTTAAAGTTGATTCAACAATAAATAAATATAGTAAATTCCAAAAACAAAATTAGCGACCCAAAAGTTTAGAATAAAGTTCGATCGGTTTTCTAAATCTTTTGTAAGTTTAAATCTGTAATAAATATACAAGTAGAATCATTCAAATTAAATTATCAAACCGCATATAAAATTTGATCTAACGGTTGTTTAGATGGTTTTCAAGATATATTTGGACGTAATTAAATAATCAAAACTAACTAGGTTTTCAAGATAGATTTTCGATGTATGGAAAAATCAAAATTATGTTGTAATCCTGTAATTATCTAGATGCTTGTTCTTTATTCATATGTATTTTTTTCACACAATATAATGAAACTAAACTAAGATTATGAGTGATTGATGAACAATTCTTGTAACCCAAATTTGTCTTTAGGTTGTCAATGAAAGTAGCACTTATCACCGGGGGAGCTCAGGGAATCGGCGAAGCAACAGCAAGGCTATTCATCAAACATGGAGCCAAAGTCGTAATTGCCGATATCCAAGACCAATTAGGTCATGCAGTTTGTAAAGATATTGGTCTTGACAGCGCTTCATTTGTCCATTGCGATGTGACTATTGAATCAGATGTTGAAAGTGCCATCAACACGACACTTGCCAAATATGGTAGGTTGGATATAATGGTGAACAATGCAGCCATATTAGATGATGGAAAGCCCAACATTCTCGATAATGATCAGTCAACTTTCGAAAGAGTCATGAACGTCAACGTCACTGGTGTGTTTCTGGGAACCAAACATGCGGCTCGAGCCATGATCCCAGCTCGAAGTGGCAGCATTATTATGATGGGAAGTGTGTCTGGGAGCATTGGTGGAATCATTTCTCATGCTTATTCGAGTTCAAAACATGCAATTGTGGGGCTTACTAAGAACACGGCAGCTGAGCTTGGCCAATATGGGATTCGTGTTAATTGCGTATCACCTTATTTTATCCCTTCACCTTTAACAGCAAATTACACACAAGATTATCCAGAGAAATACTCAAACGTTTATTCAAACCTCAAAGGGATAACGCTACGTGAAAAAGATGTTGCAGAAGCTACTCTTTTTCTAGCAAGCGATGAGGCCAGGTACATGAGCGGGCATAATCTAGTGCTTGATGGAGGTTTTACGGTTATAAATCCAGCTTTTGGACTATTTGCACGAGCTTCCCCTAACGAGTAACTCTGTTGCATTTAGACTTAATTGTTCTATTTTTATTTGGTTAAAAGATGTATTGTGTGCGTTAATTGTAACATTTCTAGTATTGTATCGCATTCCTCCTAAATATATTACAAATGCTCTAAATAAATGTAGCATTTGTTTGTAATGTATGTGGAAATTTGATGCGCATTTTGTTAATAAAATATAGTTTTAATTTGTAACACAACAATTTATCGGATCCTATAATTGCATATTTAATAAGTACTTTAGTTATTGATTTTTTTTGGAACCAACAAATACTTGTATGAAAGAAAAAATAAGAAAAAAACAAATAACCTCGCCTAAGCAAGGAGCTAGGCCAAGGGAAAGTATAAAGGAACAAACGAAAATATAGATAACAGGGGGGGTTTAAACACTAATGGACATCTTCTCCACTCAATCCAATTGCCCACTCCAAAGTTGATGTTTAGTTCATCTTTAGTGGTTATTTGACTCCAAAGTTGATGTTTAGTTCATCTTTAGTCGTTATTTGATATTCACAGGTGTGAAACCTGTGTATTTACACGGGTTGATTTAAAAAAGATTAAACATTAAAGTGTAAACAAAAAATATTTGTTAATGTACAACTTTAAAATAAGGAAAAAACATATTTATTACAATTTAATATCATATATATGATATTTAATACTTTACATATATAAGTATATATGATTTTAATTTTAAAAATTGAAACAAACCAAAATTTGACAAGTGGATAATATTTATTTTAAAAATACCGTAAAATGACAAGTGTCAAAACTCATGATAGATTGACATGTGGCAAAAAAAAACCTTCATTTATTAAGAAGGATTTATAATATAAAAAAATACACCGAAAAAAATGCTAAGTTCAATGCTAATTAAGCAAAGATAAGATGCAAATCCTAAATTAATAACATGTCTTGACTCCAGATATTGGAATGTCTTACATCCATACAAAAGGACGAACCAATGAAATGAAAATATTTAAATAGAAGCAACACTATACTAGCTACTAGAAAAATGACTTATTTACGACATCCAAATTCGTTGGAATGACTATCACCGACAAGTTTGCCATGGACAGATAGTTTTTAGTGACGATTTCAACCATTTTACCATGATTACCCACGGAAACACATAGCCTCAGATTACCGAAAAAAAACTTTTAGCGATGGGTTTTATGACAATTTTCGGTGATGGATGACCGAATTTTCGTTGGTTTTCTATAGGTATTTCTGTAGGATTTTTTTCCATGGCTAATTTTTTGTCAGAAATATCAATGTTTTCTAATAGTGTTTTGTATCACTTTACCAATGTATCATTCTCTTATAAACGGTTACGTACACCTAGTTTCACTTTTTGTCTAAATAGGTGACTCAAAATGAAAGTAAGCAACAAACTCCATTCAAGAATTCAAATAGGAAAATGTTTATTCAACTCTAAGATGTCTTTTGAAGATTTATAAATCAACATTTCATATATGATGGAGCTAAATTTGAATTTTTTTTTTTAACAAATTCTAAAAAATTGACAATTGACACCGATTCACTAAAATTAAGAAGCTATTTAAGCACATGTTTTTTGAAAATCAAGGAAAAATCATATGAATTAAAATTCAAACTAAATATTTAAAAGTCGGAAAAGGATCAAAGTTAGAGGAAAGTGAAAAAAATTGAAGGTATATGCAACAAGAGACCAATGGGTGAGAAAACTGCCTTTAACCATTTATTAGGAGTTCCAACCACAGAAACCTTTTCGCCCATATCATCAGGCGTATTTGGTCTATATTTATTCATTTAAATTTCATTTGTTAAACTAAGAATGACCAGACTTTGATAGAATTATAAACTATGTATGCAATTTATAGAATACATAAGAGATTGGCGTAAACTTGACAATAAATAGACAAGTAGAGGCGAATATATTGCATGTTATCCTAAGAGCGTTTTTGACGGAAACTTTCTCGAAACAAAGATCTGTATCTAGAAAGGAGGAAATATCAATCAACTTCAAGTTGTCAAATATGGCATCTTAGATGCCCTCTACGACGCTAAACCGTCAAAGAACATTCTCGTGTTGCTCACATAGATCATAGAAGAAACTCAGGCACTTGAAGGTGGCGCCAGATTATTAGGTTATAACAACACTTCGACAAACGATAAATGTGTTGGAATATTTCACTAAATGTGGCCTTAGGACATTTCTGTAATAATTATTTAATGTTGTATTTATGTTTTATGACAACAACTATGCCAATTTGACATAACTGGTACCACATTTTTCATAAAACTTACATGATGGAAGTAACTGCCTAACTATAACTAACTACAACTATATAAGGAATAAAATCACAAATTTCCTATTAGATGTCTATTTTTGTAACACCCCAATCCCGAGTTACTAAAATTCTTGAATTTCTAGCCTTTTTGGAAGATGGTCACGACGTGAGATATGGTGGTCACATTGTGAGTGACCATTGACTTGTTGACCCGCGTTTTCGAATATCACGACGTGAGGAATGAAGCATCATGATGTGAGAACGGCCTGATGATCCAAAACCCTAATGCTCGAGTATTTAAGAGAATGAGAGGGCTAGGGTTGCCCATCCTCAGCCTCCCTCAACCTCTAGCCTCCTAAAAACCCTAATCTCGACCTGCTTGAGGTCCTTAGTCATCTTTGGTGACCTTGAAGAACTTATTTGGTGGTTTTTAGCTCATTGAAGTGGAAAAAGACTTTGGTGGGGCATTCTCTTGGCAATCCAGCTTCTACCTCACTTTCTTGTAGAGCTTTTGGACCTTTGTAAGTCATAAAGCTTTGGCCTTTTTACCTCTTTCATGCTAGATCTAGGTTCTAAGCCCCTTTTTGCATGGTTGAGTTAGAATGCAATCATGAGTTGTAAAGCTTTGGCCTTTTTACCTCTTGTATATGCATTATTGGAGTAGTGAACGTAACAAATCGGAGACAATGTTGCGGGTGAGAGACTGAGAGTCGCGCATCGCTTAGTGCACTAGGCTGAGTCGGTCGCACTAGTAGTGAATAGGGTTGTTCCTTTTGGGGATAGTGATGTAGGGGGCCATTTATGATGAATTAAAAATAATAGTAATTATAATAAGGAATGAGAATAAGTATTTACAATAACGAATTATTATTATTAATATTAATTGCAAAGAGAAATGAAAATAACTAATTACAACAATAACAACAATAATAGCAAAGAACAAGGATGGATAATTCAAAGATGAATTAATGATGGGTAATTATTAAAGAAGGACCAAATGAAGAACGCTATTAATATATTGTTATGGTGATTTCATGATGTATATGATGTTGTGCAATATGTGGAATTTAATTACATTTTATGTGATGTTTGATTGACCTGTTTTGGGATATGGATGTTTCAGTCAGTGATGAAAATTTTGGCCTAGGCGACCGAATAATCAGAATCGGGTATAGGTCGAAGCGCCTAATTAGGAATCGGCCAAAAAACTGGGAATCGGTCAAACTCGGTCAAAAATCGGCTCCAATTTGGCCAAAATCGGAAAAATTCGGGATCGATCAAAATCGGAAAAACTCAAAAATTTCGATTTTTAAAAAAAAAATATGCAATTGTTATTGATATTCATCTATTTCGTTATATATATATATATATATATATATATATATATATATATATAATATATATATATATATATATATATATATATATATATATATATAGGGAAAGGATCAAATGAGAACACATAAAAGGTTGAGAACGCGAGAACAATTCTGGACCAATCAATATATAAGGGCATATTAGTAATTATATATTTTCTTAAAATTAAAATAAATTAAATTTGTTTTTTTCCTATTTCACATAAATCATACGTCAATGGTAAATAAAAAATAAACTATCAATCATAAATGATTATATTAGAATTTGAATTTGTACATTAATATTGACAAAATTGTAGTTAATGATTAAAAACCATGTATTCATACAGTCATAATCGTAATTGAATAAAGTTGAATATAAATATAAAATGTAGTTAATGATTAAAAACCATGTATTAACACACATTTTCAATTATAAATATAAAATGTTATAGTTTTTAATGAATACAGTCATAATCGTAACCGAATAAAGTTGAATATAAATTAAAAAAATCAATACATTTTTAATTATAAATGAATAAGAACAATTTCTAAAATAAATCTCATATAGTTGTAATCACTAATAAATACAATACATAGTAAATATACATATTCTATACATGTAATCATAAATGAATAACTCAAAACATAAAAGAAATTACAATATGATAATTAGCTATTCAGAATACAAGAATACAAAATTGAAACATCAAGCTCCGGTTTCTTCAAAACCTGTCTGTTGGTGAAATTGGTGCTTTTCTCTTTTACAGAGCATCCAAAACCTACAACAAATGTTATAATCATTAATGAAATGTTATAATCATTAATTATTAAAACTCAAAGCTTACAAAGCTCTCGTTGCTTCAACATCCGTGATTATTTTTTGCTGCTAAAATCCACGTGCTTGTGTAACCAACTTCAGTGATACTTAACAAATTTGACACCTTGTCTTTCATGTTTACAAATTACCACCAATTTCTTGTCCACTTTACTGTACTTGTTGTAGGCTTAATCGTCTCACCAAAAATTATGAATATTGGCTGGTAACCACATCTAACTTCAAACCTAACAAAAAAACAAAACAAAACTCATTAAACAATTAATAAATAAAAAAAAATGACATTTGAGTTTACCCTATAGTACTATACATTCATTTAAGATTGTGACTGTAAACATAAATAAATATAACATAAACCCATATACACTGTATATTTGATTCATTTATGATAATAATTTTAATCATAAACGATGTCACAGTTTCAAATTATAATCATTAATATTTATTGTTTCCAATAATTAAAATGACATTTGAATTTACCACTTTGCTTAACATGTCAATAACGAAAACAAAAGCCAAACCAATTTAA